ACCGTGGTGATGAAGACCGGGGCTTAAAATACATCCGATTTCAGATGAACGCACTTCTTTGTTAAATTGTAACTTTTGACCGGTTTCCGTATCAAAAAAAAAAAACAAACCTGTGGGACATGTAATACCCGAAATTACCCCCCTTTTTTATACACCACCTACCCTGCACATTTATATTATTTATGTGACGTTCAGACTAAAACTGTACAAAATGAATCTTAGTAAATCGACCGTGGTTAGAGCGCGTGGTACAATATTCGTATAACATTGATGACGGTGAACCTGTTGTTATTCGTTTATATCGAGATAAATCGACATTTATTCGGGTTGTGAAATTCCGAATCGTTTCCGCAATCAAAACTAAAAACGCTTTACGAAACTCGGGACCCGCGTTTATGGTGCGGGGGACGCAAAGTGTGTCGGGAGACACGGTGTTTCGGGCACTGATATGCCGGTGTCCGAGATTTCTTCCCGCCCCCTACGGTGTAATATTATTATGTTATTATTGCGCCGGACGCGCGTGCACCGCACGCTGCACGCGTCTCGCAGAATATCGCGAGATAACGCGCGATGATACAATATTATTACTGCCAATATTACCGCGATTCTTTTTTTTTTTTTTTCCTCACTCTCTTTTCGTACCTGCCCGTAATAATGCCGCGCCGCGTTATTGTCTCGTTTGTCGGGGGCCGCGCCGCCGGCCAGACCCCGGGCCGGCGGCGAATCGCGAGCCCGTCGGCGTGCCGCATTATTGTTGTTACAATATTAACATTGCACCACCGCCGGTGTTGCGCGTCGTATAAAATCCGAGACCGCCGTTCCGGTCGCGGGAACCGTTGTTTACGATAATACCGTGCAGGTATACGGGTGTAATACGCGCGTCGTGCACGCCGGCGACCTATCGCCGGCCGACGGCGTGGGGGCGGCGCAGGAGGATGATCGACGGAACAGCAGCCCGGCAGCCGGCGGACCGGCGGCCCGGCAGCCCGCAGAAGAAGAAGAAGCCGGAGAGAAGGGAAAAAAGAAAGAGAAAAAAACAAAAAAAAAAAAAAAAACCCGACCGGAGGAGAGCAGCTGTCGCGTGCACCTGGACGGCGACGAAGACGCGACCCGCAAGACCTCGCGGGCGCACGCACGCCCGCGTTTACACGGCCGGCGCACGCACACACCGGCGCGGCGGCGGGCGGACGCGCGCCCGATCGCGAGGGACGCGGCCGGGTGGCAGCTGGTCGGTCGCCCGGTAACACCGTCACGTGCATTACAATAATATTATATAGTAACGCGCACACGCACACACACGCACACGCACACACACTACCGCTCTCGAGAAAGACGGGCAGACGCGAGCACAATGTAAAAGGTGCCCGTGTACCTTTATTTCACGTTTCTTCTTTTTCCTATTTTTTTTGTTTCCCTCTCGTCTCCCCCGCCGCACCCCCACACCCCCCGGCGCGCCTGTGCCGTCCCGCCCATCCCGGCACCGGACCGGTCGACGTGCCGAAACTCGTGTGCCGTGATTTTCCCGCCAAAAAAAAAATCCTCTCCGCCGTAATAATTGACCTCGCCGCCGCGCCGCACACCACCTGCGCACACGCGACCTTATACGCCGCGGTGTGTAGGTGCGTGTATAAAATGGGTATATGTGCCCGGGACGTGTGCACGTACGTATGGGTACGCGCATTCGACGAGATTCCCGCCAAAATACACCTGCTCCCTACGCTGCTGCACCGCGCATACACCTAACCTTTTATTATCACCTGCTTTTTTTTTTTTTTTAACGTTTTTCTCTCTCTTATATATGCGCCCGCGGACGACGACGTCGTCGTTTCTCGACGTTTTCGTTATTATTATTATTATTATTCGTCGGCGTATTATGCTCTCGCGTATGCACGTATATACATTATATTATATATTTACGTACAACACGTGTGCGTGCGTGCGCGCGTAAATCGGCCGTGTTTTCACGAGACAGCTGTTCCGCGGACACAATAACGATGAAAACCCTGTTGCTCCGGCGGCGTACGCGTTGTGATTATTTTTCCGTACAAAACGCGACTGGGGAATCGCCGCCGCGCGATGGTTTTGTCTGCGCAGCGGGCCACTGCACCAGTTCGTCGCGCCGTCCCCGATGGCGGAGATCGCGGCCGCGCGGCGGACACGGCCCGCCGGGAACCCGCGGTTTTCCCGGCGTGCCGCCCGCTTTCCACGGTGGAGAGCCCCGGACGGGGACCTCGGTTTGTTTTCGGTGCTGAAACTCGTCCCGAGTTTGTCGTCCCAAATGTAAAATCCGGATTTAACGATACACTAGTTTCGTACCGGGTTTTTAATCGACGGACATACTGATTCCGTCCCGTGTTGTTTATTTGAATCCCGGAAAAAAAAAATCTCCGGGAAAAAAAATCGCTGCGAACGAATCCCCAAAGCAACTAAACCGTAAAACTTATACGTAAATAAAAAAAAAAATGGAATACAGTTTTTAATCACCAATGGTTTGAGTGGACACTGTGCACAACTGTCAAAAATAATAATAATAATAAATAATTAAAAAAATATATAATATCGTATGTAGGCATAACCTATTAAAACGTATTTATTTTTTCGCCGTGTGGGTTCAAACTATGTCCGTAGTCGCGCAGTTCGAAATTACTCACTCAACAGGAACTGAAGAAATACTATTCGTAATACTCACGTGTTAACTAATAACGCGTAGACACCGAATATGCAAGTCTGAATAATTTGTATCCAATGTATTTCCTAATTCCACGATTTATCGCTCTACGCAATTGATTTTAGATATTTGGCTACTAAAATTAGGTACGCGGGCTTCCATCGAGAGAGTACACAGCTTAGTAACGTCCAATAAATTATTTTTTGGAATATTTGCTGTTTCGTTTGTCATCGTTTTACTAAAAAAAAACCGTACGGATGACAACGATTATACGATAATTTATACATACATGTATAAACCTAATTGAAGTAGGCGCGTCTGTAAAAACTTTTTTAAATATTATTATTATTATCGATAGTATAGTTGATTTTGGGGATTTTTTATATACTATATACTATACTAATATAATATAGCGTACAATTTACGACTATGCGGTAACAATTTTATATTATTTAGGTAAAAAAAGATAATATTGCTTTAAATTATCGCACTAAATAATCGAATTCATGTACATTAATACTTTAATATTATTTGAATTTGTTTTGTAATTTAACATTGATAAATAAAATGTTTGTGTATATTATTTATTTTTTTTTTTACATCATATAAATTTAATCCAATAGCAAATTTTTATCTATGAAAGTACATGCATATACTACGTTTGAATTTTTCGTATTTTACAATTATGTATCATTGATAAGAAAATGTTTAATCGGGACGGAATTGGTATAAACAAAGGTTATTGGAACGGAATTCGGATGCGGCCGTCCTCGGTATAGTGTACTCGACCCGACTGAATGAAAACTATCGGACTGTCGGTTTGTTCGTGATAGATCCAGGTATGTCCGTCGTGTAATAACGTGTCATCAGCCGCGCCGGAATATAACTCACTCGGAGACGAACAAAAAAATTCGTCGGTATTTTCGCGTAGAGCCCATTTTAAAAATTTCCCGATAAGCCGAAAATGGCCTATCCACTGTCCGTCCACTGTCTATCGTACTGCAGACGATTAAAACGTTACCGGAGTCCGTAGCAGAGGCGTGCGTGTATGTATAGATGCAGAACCGACGAAACAACGACGTTATACCGTTGCCTATAACATATAAGGACGGAGAAGAATCTGCGTTTCCGACAAAAACTCCGTTTCGGTCATATTGTTGTACAATCCGTCAGGCGTGAAAAAAAAAATTAAAACAATTATGAAAATTAGTTTTGTTTTCAGCATATAATATCAAGATTTAAGACACTAAATTATAGACTCGAGTTTAAATTATAACTTCGATTCAATTGATGTGTTTTGAACCATGAACAACAGTTTTGAAATAAACAATTTTATTTTAAAAATGAATGCTTTTTTTACGGGTTTGAATGCGCGTTAATTATTTGCGTATTTTATCAATTTTATCCCACCTGTTATTCCACCTATTCCATCCTAATAATATTATTGTAATATATGCGCAGTGCGCGTGGACAGGGACACGGCGTCTGGGTGCGAGAGTTGCGGGGCGTTGAGGAATATATTATGTATAAGAAAATACGAAACGCAAACGGAAGTAACGAAAATCAAAAAGTTAAAGCGTAGACGTGTATAGTGTGACCGGATCGGATGTATAGGATAGGAATAATAAATAGGCGGTATTCGAGTAACGAGTATAGCGGCGGCGGCGGTGGCGGGGGGAGGGGAGAATATGGCGATATACAAGGGTAGATACGAGAGCCGACCGCGGAGTAAAGTGAAGAAACGATGATGGATGAGGGGTGTGTGAAGGGCGAGAAAAGAGTAACTACCGCACATGATATTATACGTGCGGGACAAAGGAAAAAAAGAAAAAAATATAATACGAACGTTATTATCAGTTCAACCGTTCGAGGTTGCGAAACTACAACATTAACCACAAACGGACCGGTTTCGGTGTTTATATTTATCGGTTGATAAACGAATTTGTGTACCTACCCGTCGGTTTAAAGATGTCTAGTCTCAACGGAAAAGTTTTTCAAAAAAAAAAAAATAAAAACAAAACGAGAACCATAAATGAAGAATTTACATACAAAAAATATCGGTAAATATACATTGTACAATATGTATAATAAATAAAATGTTTTGCGATCAGTAATATTTAATACGACCATTGATAATAATCAATATCACAGTAAGTTCCATTTGCGGTTTACCTACTTTAGTCCAACCTGTTTATTATGATAAAAAAGTAAAAATAAAACAAATTATAGTTATTTTAAAATTTAATAATACAAACATATTTGATATTTCTTCAAAGCTAAGTTACAAGTTAAAAACTATATGTTTATATGATACATAAAAAAGTATTCAACAGCCAGGTTCAGATAAGTTGAAGTTTTAACATCAGCCGTTATTCAAATTCATTCCATCCAAAACGGGGTGAAAAGCTTTCTGAGTCGATGGGATCATTCATTGAGTTATTTGTGTTCCATTCTTCTTTATCTAAACTGGAGCTGGGATCACGTCATAATACAACTCCTAGTCGATTGTTCTGGCTTTGTTGGAGAGAATAATGTTGGCTCTTCGGTAGTGTATAATGGTTTGATTATTATTTTTTACATCATTACGAGAACAGCTGATAAATGATAACGATTGACATTTGACCGAATATACAATGTCAAGAGAATAAAAAATATAATTAGTACAATAATTATTCTGTTGACTATTGGTACTCATTATCAGTTGATAAAAAACGCAGCATTTTATTTTAGTAAAAAAAAAAAATTGGTAAAATGTACGGTCAATTTTTTTTATCGTTAAAAATTTACCTGGTAATTTTACAACACTCGCATCTCTAACGAGGACGCGTGTTCTTTATTTGTACGTAGGGAAACTCGTACTTATAATATTATAGAACAGTGTTTCTCAATCTGGGCGGCGCGACCCCTTCGGAGGTCGCCAGCTAATTATTTAGGGTCGCGAAAAATATAAAATATCGGGTCGCCATGTATAATACATAGACGTTAGGGTCGTTAAAAAATCAAATATTAATTTAGGGGGTCGCGGCAGTAAAACGGTTGAGAAACACTGTTGTATAGAAGTCGGGCGCATTTCGAGTCTTGATAAAGTGTCGTTAACGTACGCCGTGGAGCATTTGGTAATTTATCAGTATGGTGAATCAACAAAAACTGACAACAAGCACTGTTGTAAATATTTTGTGTACGCGTTATAAGTGACGACGGAGAACGAGACTGCACGTATCGCTAGCCCGGACGACGGACGGGTAATTTTTCCTAAAAAGAAACAAAAATACCAAATGTCAAAACAATTTTTTTCTCTCGCGGCACTCGCGTCTTTTTGAGGGGAAGTTTTCGACAGCCGGCGGCTTTATTATTTTCGTTGTTTAATCGTGTCTCGTGCAAACAGATAAAGACCGGTCGCAGTCGGATATAATGGCCTGTTATTATTTCTTTTTCTTTTTTTTTTTTAATTTGACGATTATTGTCGTATTTTTCAAAGCAAAAAGAAAAAACGATTCCCATTTACAGGGTCAAAAAAAAAAAAAAAAAAAAAAAAACAAAACAAAAATTGAAAAGAGAACCCGCCGAAGACGGTGCCCGTCCAGACGGTCGTGTTATTATGCCGTCTGAGATAAGTACGTATTATAACGAATAATATCGTGATGCGAGACGAACAAGACTCGGAGATCGTTCGAATCGTAATAATTTAGCCTGTCGAAGACCAGGTGTTCGAATAATAATTGTTGTAAATTAACCCGGGACCCGGGTAAAAGCACTGAAATTTCGCGTAATACAGTAAACTACTAAATATATCATTATGACTATACGCGCTGTAGTATAACCGGTCGTGCCGGAATAATATATTATTATTACGGAGGATATTTTTTAAGGACTGCATTATTACTAGGCACATACTATAAGAGTGAACTGAAGAAAAAAAAAAAAATCCACGGACAAAAAATAAATATAATGTCGATAGGACTAATGGGTGTATAAACATACACCGCTGTTTCAGGAGGGAATTTTAGAAAAAGCTATTATAATAATATAAAGTAATTTAATTTATGTCTGCAGTGCGCAACGATGAATAATTGCTAAAGAAAAACAATTCTGAACGGTGTATTATTAATCGCGTTTCTCCCTTTTTGCAGTTAGTAGTTGACTCAGAAATCAACAACGATTATGCGAATAATATTATCATTGTACGTCATTTATTTAAAAAACTACAAGGAAAATCAAAAATAATACCTCCTACTCAATGCGCCAACTAGATCGAAAATGTCCGAAAAGTTTTCTTTGAAAAACCTCATTGTGGTTATACCAATGCGTTCCTTGCCTCGCTCAGAATCTGAAAAAATAGTTGACAAAAAAAAAAAAAAAAGAAAGATTATTTACACGTTATTTCAGGTCTGTCTCGTTCATTCGCGAATACGATACGCATCTTGGGCATTTCAAATATTGGATGAATTTTTCGAAAATCGAATTGAAATAGAAAAATATTACTGTGGAAATCATACAACAATTGGAAATCCAAAAAAAATAAATCAGAGTATTTAAATAATATAATACACGCGATTCTTAATATATCCAAATAAATGTATACCTACACCCATATTATTATTATTATTTTTTTTTTTTTGTCAGTTGTCCGGTGTTTTTTTTTTCCTTTTAATATCTGAAAAAATAGTTGACAAAAAAAAAAAAAAAAAAACACAGAAAGAAATATTGTAGTTGTCAACCCGACGACGGCGTGCGCCAGGGTGTGTCGTCTTCCTGCACACAGACAAGGGCGTTCATAAAAATACGCGACGGGATAAGCCAGACCACAGACGCCACTGGTTAAGGGCGCGGGCCGTAGGGTCTAAAAACACGCACACATACACATACGGTCCATACGAGTACGCGCATGTTCATTATTGATCGGTGGATCGAAATTCCACGCCACGTGTGTCCGCAGCCGAACGACAATAAATATTAGTTACATGTATACCATTATTATTTTTCTCCCGGCAAGTTTTCTGGAAGGTTTCCCGAAACGTTTAGCGTAAAATACCCCGGGATAATAATTTTATGGGAGAAAAAAAACTAACCCGAAAACAATAAAACGAAAATATATGTAAATCCGGAGTTTTCGATTTTCCCGGCTTCCGAATATTTATCAATTTAATATGATCGCGTTTATCTTTCGTACAAACGTGTTTGCATAAAAGATTATTTCTCTGATATCAAAATATTATTTAGCGATATCTTTTTCACCGATATTTATTTATTTTTTTCAAATACGCTATTTTACTAATAAAACATCATCGTTTTCGTTTCTCTTTTATAGCGGTCGCCCATACATAATGGTATTGCATACAGCAGAACGTCGATTGTACACGATTGAACATGAAAAACGAAGCATTCACAGAAAAAAAAAAAAAAAAATATTCAACAGATCCGTCCGATCGACGGCATACTCCGAACGTGTTTCGACAAGTCTGCATAGGTGAGTGCCACTGCATTATCGAATACGTCACGGTCACCGGCATCTAATCTAACCTTCTTGCTGCACCTGTGCCCTTCGGTGAGTTTCATAATTCAAACCGCATAATGTGCGTACACAAATATCATAACGTATACTATTTTCATATTTATAGTATACAAAAGAGTTATGACACGAGTTACCTGTGATTTGTAAGTGACGGTTACGGGAACAGTACTGTGCGTCACTATGGTAAAATGTTGCAGTGTTTAGCCACGGGTACAAAAATATTAGGGGAAAAAAAAAATCCGTAATAAACGCAAAAATGAAAAGCACGGACAGCTCTAAAGTAAAATTTTGCCCTAGCTGACTTGTTCCAAAATGCTGTTTTTTGTATTTTTATTATTACGATAATGAATTACACAAAACGGGGTTTTGTCAATATAGTAAAATAGTTTACGAGACTTTCGATAAAATACGAACAGACGGCGGGGGGTCGGAGCCGGAAGTACAAACCTTCCGAAGTCACATGCTCGGCAACGTTTCTGTATTAGTATGTGTACAATATTTGTATGACCCAGCTAATATTTAAGGAGTTGCGTGTAGGCAATCTGTCGACATGAAAAACCACAATTGTTACTGTCGACTTAAATGCATTCAAATTAACTTTCAAATTAGTATACGAGTAGTCCCGGTCATTATCACAAATATGTCTTCAATGGTACGGGTAGAAATTCGAGATCGGCATTTTCGCAAATAAAAATGTAAAGTCTGAAAAGCCACTGTTATATAGGTGATAAAATGGAAAGGTAGTAGAGGTGAAATTTATTATATCTGTAAAAGCAACGATAAACCATTGCTAACGAAAAAGCGATTCTGAACGGAGTTGGGTTGATAGTGTTGCTTTTTCAACAATATCATATGTCATATTACGGTAAAATAATTACATATGCGTTATATATTTTTTTTAATAATATTTGTTTAACATTGTATCCGTTTTCCCGTTTTGCCTACGTTTTTCCCGGTTTTTCCAATTTATTGGGAAAATTCTTGGGAAAATCGAAAAATGACCTACTCAGAGTACCTTCCCAGTTCGATTTTATTTCAGAAAAAGTGCTATCATTGTAAAACGAGGCAAAATTATTGATTAGGTTAAGGTCAGAAAAGTTGTCCGCAGAAAAAAAAACAAAATAAAATATAATTGTAAAACATCGTTCCGCTCAGAATCGAAAAATTATAATAATTCGTATTACGTTAACAAAACTGTTATGCAGATTTTCTGCCCGGATCGAATTGTTTACGTTAATTTCCATCGTGTGGGCTGTTTTATGTTAATCACTCGTTTTACGGGGTAGAAATAATTTTTACGCGTATGAGTTTTTACGAGTGAAAACACTCACGTCGTCACAGCCACCACTTAACGTGGCGGTGACATTTATGCCGATGCGGGGACGAAATTATTTTTGGCGCTGTTTAGACTACACGTATTGGGTCGACTCGATGATGTATAAAATCGTCGCGGGGGCGGTTATTTTTAAAATTGTTTAGCGTTCGCCGTCGTGTTTTAACTGGCACTGCGATTGCCGGCATAATAAAAACAACGTTTACGGTCTCAGAAAAAGAGAGAAAAAAAAAATACCTAATATAGAAAATCCGAGGACGACGCGTGACGTGCGACAGGGTGTGCCGCCGCCGTCGTCGTCGTCGTCTATAATCGTGTAGTAGATAATGATAAAAGGACGTTGACAAAATTACGTATATATACTAGACGGGAATTATTGGACCGACGCCACTGATGGCAGCAAGTCTATAAGGGTGCGGATCTCACACACACACACACACACACACACACCCGCACTCGTTTACACGTATATACAGATATAATGTGGAGTGTACGATAATAATGTACGCGTTTCGATATTTCGAAATGCCACGCCACGTGTCCGCGCCCTGGCCCGTGCGTATACGGCGCGCATATAATATTATTATGGTTTTTTTACCCTTTAATGGATCGCGTCGCCGTCGTGGCGCGGGCCAGTCGTACATGCGTCTAGACGCTAAACTATATTACGTATCCGTGTTCGTTACACATTATCGCCGTCGTCATC